TTGAGTAATAAAGTATAAATATTTCAAGTTCTGTATTTCTGTTATTTCTGTTTCTAAATTGTTCTCCAACAATCTCCCTATATATTATTCCTTTTTTTCCGCCTCTCGTTTCTCTTTAGTCTTTATGTTAAAACCAAGATTTTAAAGAAAAAAAGTATCATTACCAAACAAACATAGCTCTATCCATGTCTATATCAAGCTTTTTGACTGGAATAAAAAGCCAATAGTGAAATTGGGGAGCTGAGAGATAAAAAGATGACGTGTAACTGTGAAGTAATGAAGTACTTGAGGGCTGGGCTGGGCTGGTTCAGTAACCGAACCGAAAGCCCAAATTGGTTTTCGATCAACGGGCCTTGGAATGGCCAGAGTAGAAATGGACATTGAACCGCTTGCTATCTGTCATCGAATTATGGTCGAATCAGGGTAAAGTTAGTCATGTGCATTTCTCGTGTTGAAATTAATAAAAATTTTACAAAACTAACAACTGAGGGGGTATGGGCATGAATTGAAAGTTGATGGGGAAAATTAGTACGAGGCGAAGAAATTTCCAAGACGAAAAAAAAAATGAAACTATTTCGTAAAAACTAAATAAGCCTTTTTGGGTACTCTAAAATAAATTTGCACTCATATTATTTCAGTTTTTTTTTTTTTTTTTTTTGGTTAATTTTATGGAGAACCACAATTTTTCTTTGTTGTATCAAAATAGGATTTCCATCATATGAAAGCTCAATAAACACATGTACTCACAGCACCTGATGAGTGTTATTTATGTGCACGACTTTAGTGTCACCATATGTGAGAGGGCACGTAAGGAGGTAGTGTTATTCCACATTAAAAAAACAAAGAACCTTGATATCTTTATAAACGGTTAGATTACTCACTTTATTGCCAATCAAATTCAGAACACAACCTCAATTTCTAGGACCAGTTTTATGCAGGCTTGCAAGCCAAGCGAGTTGTGCTGCTGATTGAGCTCTGATTTGGAAGGGTACATTTTTTCCACTTCAAATTGCTATCAGCAATCTCAATAAGGGTGCATAATAAGTGCAATATTCACCAAATACATACCCAAATTTTCTCTTCCAATTAAAATCAGTTTGGTTTGGGTCATTGCAAAGGAATAAATAAAGAAAGCTACCATGTCCACTCTATAGTTTTATTTCTCCTCCCACGATATATTTTCATCCACCATAAAAAGTTTAAAAAAATTAAACACTCTCTTCTTACCCAATTATATTCTTAAAATATCCTTAATACTTTTAAGTTCTAGATAAAATAAATATAAAGAATAATAAATCTTGGAGATTTTAAGAAAAGGGAACAGCCACAAGCATCCCCAACCCCCAACCCAGCCAAAAGCAACCACAACCAGGCACCATACGTGACGACGGCAACTCCTTTTCTCTTTTCCGCAAGAAAAGTCACCTTCCTTTCTTTTTCTTCTCCTTTCTTTATTCCTCTCTATCTCTTTTTCCCCCATACCAAAGCTGAATTTAAGATTCATATCCATATTTATTATTGAATTTCAATTCAGAAGCAAGGGTTGAAAAGTAGGAGAAAAGAAGAGAGAATTTGGGGTAGGTGAGGTGGACGGAAGATATAGAAGATGGAAGGGACAAAAGAGTTCGAAAGAGGTGAGGGGTGAAGAGACAAAATGAGGAGGTTTGATTCGTTTCTCATTTAAGTTTTTTTTTTTTTCCCATTCCTTTTTTTCTTTGACTACAATGAATATATAAGATGATTGATTTTTAGAAGAACTTTTTAATTTTTAAGAGAACATTTTAATTTGGTACGAAAAATTTTAAAATGAGTGGAGAAATAAGACTATGAGGTGAACATATTAACACTCTAAATAAAAGTGGGTTCTATTATAGTGTCAATGTCATACAATCAATGTATACCAACTGAATCCACTCACATTTCTGTGTTATGTGACTAACTTAACTTATGCATTCCATACATGGATCTTTTATTTTTGTTTAACATTCGAGTAATGCTAGGAATACTAAATTTGCAAACTAAATGATATGTCACCAATAAAAAAATAAACGTGTTAATCAATACTTAACTAATAATCCAATCATCAAAACTTCCATATCATTTAGTTTACAAAATTTAATCTACAAATGTAGTCTCCATAATCTTACCTAAAAATAAAAGACTTGAAGACACAAGTTTGTTAGTCAACTAAGGAAGTTTCTCTGGCAAAGGAAACCCAAGGAAAGTTTCAAACTTAGGACAACTTTGTGGGAAATCTTCCAACCATTAGAATTTTGAAACAACCACTTGAAATATTGAGACTTTAAATAGGGATTGTTTATCTTCCCCTCTTTCTCAAGAAATTCTTTTAAAAAAAGTTGTTATTAACACTATAAAAAGTCTTCATATACTTCTTTCTTTTTTAATTTTTTTTTATTAGAAAAGAGTGCATGCTAACTCGCTTAGAATGTCAATAACAATTCTATTTTTATAATATTATTTATAAATATCGATGTGTTTACTAATGTTCCTATTAGCTAATTTGTCATTCATTTGGTTAATATATATCTGATAAGTAGTTGTCCCAAGTTTTGTTTTTTAATAAAACCAAATTCAGCAAAACAAAAAAACCAAACTAAAAAAATTTATGTATCAAAAAAAAAAAAAAACTCTGAATATTGTGACGCTGGATGAACTGGCGCTAGGGATTGTACATATGTCCATGAAAGCATAAACAAAACAGTTCTTTTAATTTTTTAAAAAACTGAATTGCACTAGTAGTTCTTGTAATTTATTTGGATTTTTCACTTCCCCTCATTTTGTAAGTTTTATTGTAACACTTTGGTCCTTGTAATTTTATTACCAAAGTTGGCCAAATCTATTAAACAAGGAAAAAAAATTCCTTCCAACTTGAATTTTTCAAATGAGAAGATGTGAAAAAAAAAAGATGAAAATCGAACTTAGTTGACATAAAAATAGATGAAACTCGAACTTAGTTGACATATTAAAACTAAAGCAAAATACGAAATACAACAAAGTATAGAAAGACCACGAAAGTGAAATTCCAAGTAAACTACATCAACTAGTGATGCAACTTAATTGGCCTAAAACATGAAAGAGAGAGAGAGGAATAAACATAAATTTATAAGATTATTATCTGTGGTTACAATTGGAAAAGAGCTCATAATTCCAAGACCTTGTCACAATCACTTATCACATAATTTTTACAGCAAAATTTAAACAATTATTATGATTCACTAAAAACATGATTTTTGATTTATTACATGCACCTCAATGCAGCAAAAATGAGAAAATTTCTGAGAGAGGAGAGGAGAGGAGAGGTTGACATATGTGTGGCATGGCCCTCATTCAAAGAAGTCAACTACTCAATAGCAGCGGTAGACGGCAACCACGGCGCCACGCCGCTGTGGAGCTAAAACAGTCATGATGACAAGAGCTACCACAATCACCACCAGAACTGCCGTGAGATCAAGACCACCTTCATCGCATTCAAAGCAGCAAAACTTCCCCATCACTTTATATAAATATGTGCTATATATAATGCAAAAGTTCTTGAAAGCTTGAAAGCTTTTGGAAATGGAGTATGAGATTACTTGAGAGGGAGGGGAATGAATGAATGAATGAATAATTTGATGATTTATTTGGTGTCGCAACTTGTGCTCGTTTATAAAAGTAGGAAATCAAGTTGACATAAATTGTCTATTGAGAAATGCTAAAAAGAATCTTTCAAAGTGGGATTCTACACGACTCTTTGTCACTTCATAGATTAGCGTTAATTTTCGTACCACATTTTAAAACATTGTGCCAAAAACATGAAATGGCAGAACGTCCGTGAAAAGTCCACTTTTGATAGAGTCTCCGTCACATTTCTCTTGTATATTTGGAATATTCTAATCATGCGTTGCCTCGAAGGAGTAAGTTAAGACTCTTTGATAATTAATTTCCAAACTAAACCAATTGATGATACATTTTGCCAACTTCTGCACACTCATTACTTGTTATAAAAGTCATTACTTGTTATAAAAGTCAAGATTAATGTGAATTAGGTCAGCTAGTGGGTGCAAATGTGGAAGTTTCATTTACAAAAGGAAGTTGTTTTACTCACATTCGCTGTCAAGCTAATGGAGTTGTTCGTCGGTGAGCTCGATTTAATTTACATATTGGTAGCATTTACTATTTGCTCGAAGAACCACTTGATGTTCCTGTTGAGAGTTAAAATGGGGAGTTGAGAGATAAAAGTGTGATTATCATAAGGGGCAACGTTTTAATCCATGTAATTAGCCTAAGAATAAAATAATTAACGTAAAGCAATCTCAGAAAAACTGAAAAACACACTCAGAAGAAGGGATCGTGTCTCAATCAAAATCAGAGAAGCATATAACTTGCTTGTTACATGAATTGCAATAATTAAAAATTAGGGTTAAGTACGGATAACTAACAAATCTTTTGGGGTGATTTCAAATTAGTTCAACCTTTTAAAACATTTCAAATAATTACCTAACATTTTAAAAATTAGACATAAATTCGATCATTTGCATTAAGTGATGACTTTACAAAAATTAAGTGATGAAATGGACAAATACTAACGTTAGTTTTAACTAATCACCGTCTTTGGAGCTCTAATTTCTCAAATCAACCCCCTTAACCAAGTTAAACTGTAAATTTACTTGGCTAAAATGCGTCGATTTAGAAATTAAAAGCTCCATAGATGACTTAAGAGTTAACCCTAAAAATCATTATAAACGGTTTAGCATAATGTTATTGTATTATGCTGATGTAACCGCTGATGGTTCATGGTGCTAAGAAGCATGTAGAAAGTCACCTACGACATGAAACAAACACACATTGTAACGAGAGCAGTGCCTGGGACAGTCGTTCACGAGGGAGGGCATCAAGGGCCGGGACTCCGGGAGTCACCGCACGCAGGTGGGTGATTGCTACTTGCATTTATCATATCTGAGTCGCATTGCAATCGACCATCGAGTATTCGTGCAAAAATCAAGAAGAAACATGTTCTGTTCCAGTTCAACATGAGAAGATGAAATATTATGCAACAGCAAATTAAACACAGAAAAAATTTAGATAAATGGAGGGTGATGCATGTACTCAAGTCCCACGCAGAACTTGAGACCAATTGCATACATCGGCTACCTGTACAGAGATACATAAAGTTAAATGTTCAAACCCGTCGAACAGCTTCAATGGTTGGATAATTCAGATTGAAGACGTTAAGAATTGTACGTTATCTACATAAGCAATCCCACTGTACCAAGTATTTCCAGAATAGACAAAAAATGCAAGACCTTCTTTGGCAGCTCCATGGCGAATGTTCCTTGGGTTGCCTTAAACCAATGCTTCTCAACACTAAATCAGATCCCAACAATGCGGATAGATGCTGGCAGTAATTCAGATGCTCTCGAGGAAGTGTGCGAAACTGGGGTACTTTGGCTCCCACCCTATTTCCTGACGAGTTTTTGAGTTGTTTAATCTCTTACCCAAGGGATCACTGGTTCCTGCACAAACAGCATCGATTGGTGTGAGGTGTATTTCAAAATATCCTAAAACCGGAATCCCCTTTATATTCTTAATGGAATATTAGCAAGAAGCTTACCCGTAAAGGCCTCAAACGTGTTCGAGAATTTCCCACTTTTAGCAACCAAGTCCATCACTTCTTGCCTGCAAAGATATTGGCATGCCCACAAATGCTCGTGTCACTAGTTCACGTAGATAATTAAGAAGAAAATAACAAAATGACAGTATCTGGGTATCAACTGTGATCTAGCAGTCAGTGTGTGTGTGTTTGCGCGCACGCGTGTACGTACGTACAACTGGTGCAACTGGGTGCTTTGCAGGCAAGTGTAGGACAAGATCAACTGACATCAGTGCAAAACTTGCCAGTTTTAGGTTTGACTCAACCATTGGATTAGCAGTTTAATCATGCACATAATATGTACCGACTTCAAAAAGATACAATATAGAAAACCATTATATGGAAAAGATTTTGACTTAGGGGTTATTGTTTAAGCCCAAAAACAGAGTAATCCTTCAAAAAATTAAAAATAAAAGTGAATTGATCGTAGCCCTCACACACACACAGAGAAGACCAGCAACAGTTGATCCTGTTGACGATGTGATAAAGTCAATGCAACTGAACAATATTGAAAGATGCAATGTTCAGATTAGAACACCTGGACAATGGATGATTGTCACAACCCAAGAAGATCTGGTTACGTATTCTCTTCTTCAAGATTACAACAGAGAGGGAAGCTGCATCCTGGCAATGCAGTGAACCAGGAAATATATTACTGACAGTGACAAAGTGTAATCATCTAAAACATGATTTGAACTCCTACCAAATTTAAATAGAAAAGAAATTATACACAAATACAGTAGGATGATTCTATCACCTCATAATGTATAAGATTCAGGAAATGATCTGGACGAGCTTCTACGATCCCCTTCTTTAACCAATAAACATGTGCACCTCTATCTGATTTGTAGGCATAATTAAGGACACTTTCAAATATAAAAAATACCAAAATCCCCCAAATCCTGAAATGTTTTCCTTTTTGGTACAAGTAATCTTTCAGAGTTCAACTTTCATAAAGGATATGTAAAGCCCCGCCAATCTAAGAACAACACCGCCAAACTCCAGCACAACTTCTTCTGCTTTAAGTAGGACATCGGTCCTGGGGCTCCTCCCTATTGGCACTACTGGAGTGTCCTGCAAAAAGGAATACGACCACTATGACAAAAGAGAACACTCCAAATTCCAACTCCAACATGACTATGAAATCCAACAAGTTTAAAGAATATTGCTAAAGCAACTTGGCAGATTGAGTACAATAATGTAGACACGGAAACCTCTCTGTGCCAAAGAAGAAAGTAAAGAAATGGCAACACCACCAGAAATAAGTGTCTACCTCGTCACATGGACCATTGTCGTTGCAATCATAAGGTGCAGAGCTTGATGTAAACAGAAAAGAACCTTCACCGTTCCAGTTCAATGCAGCCATTCTGCTTATTAAAAAAAAAAGTCCAAACCAAATCTCTTACACTAAATAAACCATTTCCAGCATTACAAGCTATTCTACTACTTACTAATAATTAAAAAAAACCAATCTCTCACTACCCAGGTATCACTTCCACGAGCAATTGTTTAGTAAGACCGTCACACTGTCATGCGAGCTGATATGTCTTGTACTTAAGCAACAGGCTAGTACACATATATACTTAAAACGTGTCGATTGGTAATAAAACTTGACGGTGTGAGGCTTGAACTGGAAAAATTACTCACCTAACATCACCAGGGTAGTCTGAGGTTCTCGATGGTGGCGCACAAAAGATGACATAAGGAAACTTGTGGGTCATTTTAGTCCCCTTCAAACATGGATTAATACCCTCCTCACTCAGCTCCTCGTGGTGATCAACGGTCACTGTTTGCCCATATATTTCACACCCAGGATGCTCCTACAAACATTAATACTTAACCCACTAATTCATTACTAAATTAACTTAATCACTGAAATAATCACATACGGATAGGCTAAGATAATGAGATCAGTACCTCCCGCCATTTTTGTGCCACCAAGCGCCCAAGAACTCCCGGCCCCACAATCAGCAGGTCATCGGCTCCCACCTTCCCAGAAGAAGTTACCCCCTTCTCTTCACCTGGCTCCGACCCATCAAAAAATTACCATAAACAAATACAAAATTACTGAAAATTCACAAGCTTGGGAAGAAATTAGGGGAAAATGTAGAAAGTAAAGTGAGATTATACCAATGGCGGATGACGGCGACGATGCGGCGGCGGAGACATGGAAAGGCGCGGCCGCCATGGCTGTGTGGGGGGTGGTTCTGAATTGGGAAAATTTGAGGGAAGGGCAGTGAAGATTCGGGAAATTCCCGACGAGTCCTCGAGGTCTTGTCAACGGAGTTGTTGTGAGGATAATGCCAGCAATGGTGCCCATCGTCTTCCAGCTCGGAGGCTTCTCGGAGGATTTGATAATGCAAGCCGAGGTGTGGATGGGTTATCCGGCATTTCTCACCACCAATCACTGATCGCAACGTGGTGGAAGAGGAGGTGATCGTGGCCGTTGGTTTGGGAGATTTTTCATCGGACGGTATGGGAGGTATGGTTCTCTATCGTTTTGTTTTTTGGTAGGTGGGATGGGTTAGTCGACCGGGACCCACAAACGACGTCGTTTGATCTTTGTTTAATTGGGAACGTGGCACTTGGTTCTTGGTGTTAGTGTTTGCCGTCACGTTCAAAGCTCGATTAAGATGGAGTGCATGTCAAAACTTCAAACTTCCAAGCTAGAAATCAAATATTTTTTGCCTTAATTTTTTTAGCTTAACCTTCTAAATTTGAATTAACTCCTAGTTGTTCATTTACCAAATTTTTTAATCAAGACTATATAATAAAGTTTTTTTTAAATGTAATATATATATCATCACACATTGATGACATATTAATCTTGCTTCAGTTTATTACTCATTAAACAACAACGTACTTTTAACCTTAGGGTCAAATGGTAAACCAAAACAAAGTCGATCACCCCAAAAAATGTCTTCGTATGAGTTCAAACTTGAATGGAGGGTTTCAAACTTGAGGACCTAATAGGGACTTGAATGAAGATTTAAGTATTAGTTGACACAATGTTAAAGCTTATTTGAGCATATGTTGTTAGCTTAAGTGGTGAATATGAGCCCGAATAAAATAAGGATTAGTTAAGAGTTCATTGTCTTGCAATGATCCAAACCGTCACTTCTTGGGATCTTCTTTTGAGAAATAAATCAACCAATTCAATTGAGACACAGATGAGTGCTTGTGGTGAAAATTTCAAAAGGTGATTATGGAGGGAGACTTTGGTTCAAGATTTTTTGTTAATAAAAAAGTCTTTGTTTTACATAGCTCAAGAATAAATTCGGGCAAAGTTAACTGGAACCATGTGTGTGAATATTAATAAAAAAATAAATTCACGTTTATAATTTAAGTGGAATTGTAACGCTACATGATAATATTTTAGATACATCGAAAAATTACTCAAGTTCTTTTTGGCCGTAATGTTATATTAAGTAATTGATATGCATCTTTTCTTTACTAATATTGGAGGAAATTGTAGGAATGATTTTTTAACTTTAACTCAATTGGAGTAACCTCAACCAAAAATCTATGATCCTTGCTACCTTTACTCATCATAACGTGCAATTATGTTTTTTTTTGTCAACTCTGTTAGAACTTCCGTCAAAATGAATCATGTGTCACGATTGTGAGGTTGAATCAAGTGGCAAATATAGAAATACAAATGAAAAAAATTGTAGTTTCGTCTCTCAACTTTGACCCAATTGGGGAAATGGTTCATCAACTTTAACCCAATATGAGTAATAGTCTCTCAATTACCAAATTGTAGCAATGATTTTTTCTAACATAACTCATTTTCAGAAAATTATGATGGAGTTGACGAAAATGATTATAGCTACACTTTTTAACGAGTTAAGGAACCAATAGCCATGAATTTTAGTTGAGGGATCATTACTCTAATTATGTTAAAATTGAGAGACAATTTCTACAATTTTCTAGTGATTGTCCTATTTTTTGAGTAGGTCTATAAGCTGCTTCAAAGTCAAGATTTGATATCCTACACCTAGCTACCTTAACAACCTTCTTTCCATGTCTCTTGTACTCTCCTCTGCAAATAGAATTTAGTCCTCCCTTCAAAATACAAATTAGTAATCTGACTAGCGATGACCTCAATTTAATTAGGTGGAAAATTTCCAAAAAGTGATTTTGGGGTGTTGGGGGGGGAGACTTTGGCACGACTTGTGATGTTAATTTCGTAATCCTCAAGTTTACTAACGATAATTAACATCTAATCTCATTATTTTACGTAATAAACTCATGCTGTTGTTTTGGCTTTGGTGTTAAATGAGGTTTCTTCTTTGGTGTTAAATGAGGTTTCTTTGGCAACAATTAATCTCGTTATTGTCCTGTGTTTTGTTTACGTCTAACTTGCTTCAATGTTAACATCATTGAAAGGGATAATTATATGTTCACCTATTACCTACCTTAACAACCTTCTTTCCATGCACGTCCTTGTCTAACCCTCTTCCTTTTGAAACTAGAAGTTAGTTTTACTCCTTTGAAAATACAAATTACTTGTCCTCCCTTCGAAATAAGATAATCTTAATTACATAATTGCATATATAAACATTATCAATTTAATCACCACGTGGCGACTTCGTGGTTGGGGACGAATTCCAAGTCTGTCTTTCACACGGCACATCTTGAGTTCGATTACTAGCACTGGTGTATCGCACGATGGTGGTTAAGGGAGGTTGAATGCCTTTGTGAGTCTTTCCGACCTCAAAATGGTGGATTGCCGTGACCAAGCCACCAGCTAGTTTTTTTTTTTTTTAAAGGAAAAAAAAAAAACATGATCAATGCAAAAACTTGGGTTTGACGATCAAATTGTCACGTTCACATAAAATTATTAATTTACATTTTTTAATGTGAATCGTCGATTTTGTTGATATTAACAGATCACGTGAGATTATACAAATGTCTTAATGAAAAATGTATATATCATACCATATAACAAGAGTGACGTTAATGAAAATTGTTGTATTATCTACACTCTGTAAAAGGCTTGTAGTTGGTAAAATATATGAATGTGTTCGTCACACAATCACATGACTGTATTATTAATTTTATATTTTAGGTTGAATTGATTTACCTTAAAATTCCTCCTTGTAGCGGATACTTGTTCCTTAATTATAATTAATGATGGATCATAATATCATGCAGCGAGATTCCCATGCAATACGGTGGACTAAATAATTGTGTGTGTACGTCAAGTTCTTTTAGCTTTTAGTAAACTTCACTGTACAAAAAAAATCTAAAGATAAATTGTAAATTGGCAAGGAGTTTGCTAGGCAGACTGGCCTATAAAGCAAGTCTTGAGGACTCACCATACACGTGACTATTGGTGTAGAACAATTCATTTAGAATCGATTTCGGTGAAGTTGATTTTGGATTACACAAGCACATAATGTGTGTTTTTGAAAGAAGCATAGTATATGTGTTTCTTGCAAGATACACTTAAAATGTTTTTTCTGGGATCCACTTAGATTTTACTGAGGATAAGTTTAAAAAACTTTCACCAAAAACATTTTTCAATCGTTTTAAAAACACTTTTAACGAGCCCTGAATTCCCCGTTTGGACAAAAAAAATAACACAATAAAAGGGAGTACATTTTTACCTAATCAATCTCAAACAAATTAGATGAGCATTTTTATACGTATCTCCATGAAGAGCATTTGAATATTTGGCAAGAGAGTTCAATCAACATGGGACATTCATGTGGAACCCATCGCACCTTCTCACCAAACTACAACAAATGACATTTAGCTAACCTTGACATGAAACATGATTTGTTATATATAGATATTTATCAGATATTTTCGAAACTTGATCTTATGTTTAGACCATTCAGGTTAGGAGTTGTTTAATACGTCAAAATTTTGACATTAAGTGTGCAGGTCAAGTGATCAAATCTTTACCCTTACACAACGAATTCAACATGATGTCATATGTGTGAATTCCTTTCTCTAATATCGTTTGTATAAAAATAAATGTTTGCAATAAACCAGCAAAGAATATAGACTCCCTTAAAAAAAACCCATAAATTGGCTAGAATTTAGACATTTTGCTACCAAATACATCAGAAGGAGATATATATTGATCTGATAAATTGAGAGAGAGAGAGAGAGAGAGATGATAGAGACAGAGAGAGGGTCAAAAAACACAGAAAGAGAAAGTGCATAAAATTTGAAAGGAGGATCCACATGAATCCATGATCTTTTACTCTTTTCTAACATTCTCTTTTACTAAATCTTTGAAGTCCAACTTCACCAACAAATTAAATTAAACTATACTTTAATTTATGAAAAAAATATATACAAAAATTAAAGCAAAGTACAAAATTTTAATTAAAATATTTTTTTTTCAAAATTAAAATGAAAGTTAGAAATACTAATCATATGTAATAAGCCTTGATTAAACTACAATTTGACGTCAGTTTGTTATCAGTACCATATTTAGTGGAGTAATTTCTGCATTCCCTTTTCACCTTTAAGTAAAAAAAAAGTGTGAGAATCACTTCTCATCAATTCAAATACGAAGAAAATCCAATAAACAAAATCGTCATCTTTCTTAGCCCCACTCTATCATGAACATCTTCTTTGTAACATGCTCTACATACTCGACCACGGAATGCTCCTAATGAAATTTCTCTCTCCAAAAACACAAAAACAAAATCAACAAATTTTTGGTCTCAAAAACAAAATCAACAATAATTCTACTCTTTTTCTTCCTTTTGTTTTTCCTGCTTTTATTTCCTTTTTATGTAGTGTTTGTGTCCCCATAAATTGTGGGCAGCTCAGCTCTCTCTCTCTCCTCTCCTTCCAAATCATTGCTCACCTCCACTTTTGTCTCAAAAAAGCTAAGCCCTTCTCCTCAATTCCCACTCTCTTTAATCAAAACCCCTCTTTTCCCCTTCTCCTCTTCCTTCCTCCACACACCCCACATCCCACACCCCATTCCTCCCCCCAAGTCATTAGGGTTTTTTCCTCTCCCCTTCCCCTCCTCTGCTCTGTTCTGACTCCATAGCTGCAGAAGCAGAATGTGCAGAGAGGAAATGAGTCAATGACTGAGAGGAGATGGGGTGCGTCTTCAGCAGACATCCGTCCGCAAACCCTGTTGGGAATGACGGAGATGGTGAAATTAGGGTTTCCAGGAAAGCAGAGTCCACTGCCGCCGCCGCCGGCGAGGTCAGTGAGGTGAGGAATGGTGTGAATAATAGTATTAGTAACGATGATAGTAACAGTAATCGGAAGGAGAATGAGGAGGAGAGGAGTTCGAGGCCTAAAGGGGAGAAGAGACGCTCCTCCAAGCCCAATCCTAGGCTCAGCAATCCGCCCAAGCACCTCCTTGGCG